GGGGGGGGTGGGAGGGCGGGAGAAGACGATACAGGGGGTCCACCAAAAGCTGTGGGACGAAGTGCATTCGCAAAAAAGCACTTGGTCAGCATCAGCATGTTGGCCGCTCCGTTCACGTCGCGGTTGACGACGTTGACTCTGCAGCCTCTGTTCCGTGCACCGCTTGGTGTCCCACACGTCCACCAGCTTCTCCTCGTCGTTGCGCACCCGCACGTACTGGTGGGCATGCAGGGTGGCATGACAGGCGCAACACAGCTTTGATGACCTGTGTTCGTCCACCACCACCACCCTGCACACCCGCCGCAGGCGCCGCAAGAAGCGTATCCAGGGCCCAGGCGGAGTCCCCCGCATGATGCCCCCCCGGTCCTGGGCCGACCAGTTGCCCACGCCCACGACCGTGGTCATGCCCCGGGGGGCGCGTAACTGCTCCGCCAGCTGGGTGATGGCCCGCTCCCTGCTGACGTAGGCCCGGTGGCGCACCCTTCGAAACGGCTTCTCGTGCATGTGCCAGGCCAGGGCCCGTCGCAAGGTGGGGACGATCCACGCGACCCGCGACAGGAGCACCTCTGTGCTCGCTGTCTTATAGGTCGGGCACCTGCGGGAAGATGGGTTTGAGCAAGAGGGTTGGTACGGTTGGAGCGATGCGAGGTGTCGTGACACAGTGCCTGCCCCTGCGAGGCATACCCCTGCATTAACTCCACAACCCAATCACCACTCACTGGTGCAGCTTCTTGACTAAGGGTGGGGCGTCCGCGTGCCACTTCGCAATGACCCCCTCCCGCCGCTTGGCCCCCGACATGGCGTGGAATTCCTTAGAAGATCAGGATGTCACGTTGGCGTGTTCGTCCACCGCGGTGAACATCTTGGTCCGGCCCGGGTCGATGCCGACGTACAGGTGTACCTCGGCATCCTCTGGCGGGCGGTTCCGCCTGCAAATTTTGTTTAGGGGTGTGGTGGTATGGGGTGAGTTGTGTTGTGGGAGCGCGGCACGTGTGGGTGGTTGGTGGGGGAATAAGTGGGTGGGAAAGGTGGGTGCACCTCGCTGCTGGTGTACACCACATCCCCAGTCGCTCCCAGGAACAGAGCAGCCAACACTCCCGCACCACTTGCAAGCGTCCCAGGGAATCCCTGTATCGTGTCGACAAGCCAGGAGAGCTATCCTCAGCAGCACACACCCCAGTGGTACAGTCACGGACCACTCACCGGTAGTATTCGTCGGCGATTCCCCTGCTGTTTGGGGCGCCCAGGGGCGCCCCGCCGCGGGTGCGCTTGCCGCTGGTCTTCGGGGGGTCGGGGGGGGGCGAAGGGTCGAAACCTGTCGGGTAAGAAAGGACGCCTGCTGCTCAGGGTGAGGATCCGATCGCAACCTGCCGGGCCCATGGGGTCCCCTTCATGCCCTCCCAGGAGCTCGCAACAAACACAATCACCGCAAACATTGACCATCATGGCGAGCGTTACGGCATTCAAGGCCTGCACTTTTGCCACCGGTACGAGGCCTGTCGCCCGTGGCCCTCGGCCCACCCAGAGCAGAGCGCACGTCAGGTAGGACTGCGTCAAGGGGCTGAGATGCCCGCATGCTTGCATCAGAGGTCACTGCCAACACTATTGATGGAACCCTCATCCGTGCCAACCAACAGGGCAGCCGTGGTGCCTCGCGCCAAGTATGGTGACGACAACAAGTATTTCGACCTGAATGTGAGGAGGGGGAGTAGGCTTGGGTCGCCGTAACGATTGTTCCGCTGTCGCGCCTGCATCTTAAATGCTGAGACGACAGCGTTCCTTGCCCGTTTCCCCCTGCTTCAGGACCTGGAGAACACCATTGGCAGCTGGGAGCTGTACGGGCATGAGGAGAAGGCCAGGTACCCTTCCATCCAGGGGGAGTTCTTCCAGAGGGCGGCAGCGGGCCTGACGCGGAGGGAGTACCTGCTCGCCTTTGTGGCCGGATGTGAGTGCTCGGGGTTGGTTCATGTCTTGTGCCAGCATGCACTAACTGAAAGGCATTTCAATCAGCCGGAGGGTTTCAACATGTCGTCATGATTCTGCAACTCCACCACCAGCGACTCTGCGACTTTATGTCCCTTGATGGCCAATCACACCCGGCGCATTGACTCACTGCAGTGGGAGGGACTGGCCTGCTGCTCTGGGGGGGCATCGGGTCCAAGGCCACACAGCTTCCCATCACCAAGGGCCCTCAGCAGACACCCCAGGTAAGGATGGAGAGTTGTGTGTCGCGGCTGGCACTCCTCCTGGGACTTGCCATGTGTTCACATGGGAGGACTTGCTTTGTGAATCTCCTTTTGCAGCACTGACGACCAAAGCCTACCCTATTCCTTAAGGTTGGACCCCGAGGCCGGCTGTGACAACCTGTCTATCCCTGCGATTCCATTCACGCGAGCCTGTAGATTGTAAGAAGATGCACCAGAGGGGGACTTTTGTGAAGATAGTCGGGCCATGTGGGGATGTTTTTTGTCTCTCGACAGTCGTCGGCCCACCCCTCTGCCCAAGAGTGGGCGCGAAATAATACAACAAGACATGCACCGCTGCGCAGTGAGCCCTATGCAATCATTTATACGAACCCATCGGAAGCGAGCCAGACTGTGGCTGAGCAAATGATTGTACGCGCGCAGCATTGTGGAGAACCCCCTTCCGCCGATCATCGTGACGTAAACCCTGGCATGGGTACGGAACGGAATAATTTGACTGGAGGGGAATAAAACATATCAAAAACCTGTCAACATTACATCGGAGCCCACCATCCAGCCAATTTTCGCTTTGATAGCCGAGCAGTCGACCCGACTGCTCTGGGGCATACGGCGCACTGGCTTTGCTGGCACGCTCCCTTGCCATCCACGGTCGGCCAGCCCTGTGTACTTTTGGTGATCCAGGCCACAGAGCTCTCGACTTCACTTCATCCAGATACATCCAGGGTCGCTTCAGGACTAGTACCATGCTGAATGCAGTTCGCAGCGCCCTGGGCCTCACACCATCGGCCCCTGTCCTGTCCCCATGCCCGACATGCGACCCAGCCATGCTGGCGAAGTGCAAGACCGTGGAGCCTGGCACGGTGAAGGAGTACAAGCGTCACATCCTCATGCGAGTGCCATTAGAAAAGGAGGGACCTGCTGACCAAGCCTGGCCCCGGACGGTGGAGAGGTCAGTGCGGTGGACTCGATGTTGATGCGGGGGTCGAGCCCTGGCTTCGCCTTCAAGAGGACCATGCGATACTAATATGAAACAGTAAACCTAAAAACATAAGTGAAAGCATATTCGTAAGCACCTATGTAATCAACATGTACCATGCCCACCAATCCATCTCTATACTTTCCTTCCCAAGAGCCGCCATTGACCCCTCCTCCCTCCCCTCCTTGTACACCCCCAGCCTGTCCAGCATAGAACCCCTGGCGCGGGCCCTGAAGACCGCCAGCAAGGATGGCACGGTGGTCGGCCCCGTCATGGTCTCGGCCTATGAGGCCCTGGGCGATGGCCCCCAGGAGGCTGATTGCGCCGACATCCTGCTCCTCCCCGACAACGTCCAGCTGAGGGGCGTGCCCCTGTCAGACCTCACCGCCGTGGCCATGGACTCCCTCTCCCGCCCAGGCGCCTGGGAGGCAGGGGAGGAGACGCATGGCGTCGCGTGGGTGAGTGCAACTCCATTGCTGGGAAGCCCGACGTGCCGACCCTTACACCATGTGGCATGCTGTGCGGACGTGCCCCTGTGTGCGACCATTCAGCTGTGCCAGTCGCAGAAGTCTGGACTGTGTGCTGGCTGGTGATGAGGTCTTCTTCCAAGGCTTCACTTCCCTCATCCACCCCTCTCCATAACCCCCAACCCACCCCTCTCCATAACCCCCAACCCACCCCCCAACACCCCCCCAGGCGGCCCTCCCGCCCCTGACCCTGCTGGTGTGCTGCCACAATGCGCGGGACGAGCGGTGCGGGGTGCTGGGCCCTCAGCTGGCCGCCCGCCTGGAGGAGTTGCTGCTGTACAGGGGTTTTGCTGCCGCGCAGTTCCGGGTGCTCAAGGTGTCGCACGTCGGCCAGCACATCTACGCCGGCAACGTGATTGCCTACCGCCCCGGGCACCCCGGCCACGGCGACTGGTACGGCGGCGTGCACGCCGAGAACGCAGAGGCCTGGCTGACGGCCTGGCTGGGTACGCCGGCGGAGCTGGACGGCGGCGTGGGCGACCCGGCGCTGCGCCCCCACTGGCGCGGCAGGCTGGGCCTGAGCAAGGAGGAGCAGCTGGCGGTGTTCGAGGCGGGCAAGGCCCTGTGTGCTGGGAAGGGCGGCGCGGACATCGAGGAGCTGTGCGCCGACGTGGTACAGACGGTGCAGGTGTGAGGACCTCTCCCCTGCCCCCGGCCAGGCGACGCGGCCTTGCAGCCGTAGGCATCTTCCGGGACACACCCACACTCGATATCCTGCCTTGACCAGGTCCTTCCAAGCCCCCTGACTGTTACAAGCATGATACTACTAGATGCAACACCATGTGTTCCTTGACAAGCCAGGTTGTGCTGCCTCGGCGCGGCACCGCGAGGCACTGCATGCAGATTGAGGCCGCGCCTGTCGTCAGCATGCGCGCAGCACAGGAATTGCCGCGCCGCCGATGCGCCTTGCCAGTCCTTGCAGTGCACGGGCAGGCACAGAGTGCGGCGAGTGAACGTAAGGCCCAGGGCGCTCGACTCGAGCAGCGGGCTGACCTTTGCTCGCCCACCCCCCCCATCCCTCAGCTCTGCACGTGCAGGCGGTGGGCGCGCTGCAGTGCCTGCACTGGCCCCTGCAGCTGCTCCGCCTTGTCGTACATGCCCAGCAGGCCCCCAGTGTGCACAAACAGGACGCGACGCTGGGCCCAGGCGGCGGGGTCCGCCGCCACGTCAGCCAGCCAGCCGTGCAGCGCCTTGCACGTGTACACCGGGTCCAGAATGATGCCTGCCGAGGAAAGGGAGAATGTGGGGTTCGGAGCGGGGTTTAGATTGCTGTGGGCAGCGTGCCCCTTTTGCGTGGTGGGTGGGAGCAGGGGGCGGTCCCCCCTTCACCTTCCCTGCCCATCGACGCCGCGCAAGGCCGGGACACGCAGTGCCATGCGCCAACGAGGGCGAGCACCTCGCCCTTCTTTCCAATCTACCACGGCGCCTCGCCTGTCGCCTGCGCCGCGTCGAGCACCGTGGCCAGCTCCTCGTCGGTGCTGATGCCGTACCCGACGCCCTTGGCCTCCGCAATCCTGCAGGATGGGCGGGCGGGGAGGGGGGGGGGGACGAGGGTGAATGTGGGTGGACAGGGGCCACTCA